CGGGGGTTGCGAACGGAGCACCCGGGCAGCGGGAGACTTGCCCAAGGGCAGCCCGGGAATCCTGCGTCTGAGAGAGCAGCTCCAGGTCGGGGCCCGGGAGGTGCCCCGGTGCATAGCAGCCTCTCGCTGCTGGGAAGGCTTAATTCATCCGCTGCCGCTGCCTCTTGGACCTGCTGATGCTCGACCGCCACAGCTCCAAGTCTAAAACTACAAGGCTGTTGCCTAAATTGAACAGCGCATGATCTACATCCGTCAAATAATAAATAAAGTGAGCCAGGTGTAGCACAGCTCTAATTAGCTCTCCCCAAGGCTCAGCCAGCTCCCGCAGCACACACAAGGGGAGATCCAGGGAGCCTCGTGGAGGCTGCGGCTCGGGAGACTGCAGCTCAGAGGTGCTGATGTGAGGTGGGAAGGGTAATGTGTTCCAAAACTGAAACAAAATCCAAAAGGTGCCTGGATCCGCTGCGAGCTAAAGCATCATCTGCTTCTATTTTTACATGGCCTCGCTGTGCTAAGCTCTGCTCACTCAGCGCTGGAGAGAGTTTACACTCCACAGAGATGCCATGAATAGGAAACACTGCAAAAGGGAAATGCAAAAAGCATCAGCTGCCCCTCATCTCAGAACAGAGCCACGCCTGGAGCCCAGGAACTGTGCTAGGTTGGGCAATGATTTTGAAAGAAAATGAGGTTTGAATTAGAAAAAAAAAACCTTCCAAAAACTGAGTGATGTCAGCAATTAATTTTCTCGAGTGCTTTTCAGAGCAGATAGAGCAAGAAGAAAGCAGATAAAATCCTTCAGGAGGTATTTGCAAGGTCTGACATCCCTTCCTCATGCAGCAGTGCTGGCCCGCCAGCCTTGGTGGCGGGCGCAAAATCTCAAATAACTTTTTCCTTCCACCATTTCAGCAACACTGTTGGAATCCTCTGTCGTTTTGGGCCCCTTTCACCCTCCATGACAGGCTCATGCCCATCCGAGGGGCCCAGGCTGCTCAGCTGAAGCCAAGGACCCTTTTCGGTCCTCTCTTCATAGGACAAAAATCCTACCCCAGTAACACGAGCATGCATACACAAGCACTTCTCCCTGCCCACTGCCAGGGAAGAAATGAGGCATGATAAATTACAGCAGCGCTTTCCTGAGTGCTGTGTGTGTGCCAGAGTTCATTTTAAATACAGGTTTTGGAAGTTTAAACATTAACACCTAGCTGAAACTTAATAAACTTGCAGTGTTTGGGATGTTTTCCGAAAACATACACAATTAAAAAGATAAGCCCTATGACTATTTTCATATCTGTAATAAAAAACCACTAACAGGTTACTTTTATTCCAGATACAACTACAACGAAGACAAGTCATAACAGGAATTCTTCACAGCCTACAATCATTCCATGCTAAGGAATAATTAACTTCTGTTCTTTTAAACCATGTAATTACACAAGCTAATAGGGTGATTGTATGTCATTGATCAAATTACCCAGTCATTCACTAATATACATTGTGAAAAGGCTGCTTAATTATTTTATGGAGAGGTCAAAAAGTCTCCAAAGATTCATTCCAGGTTCTGAGATCTAAACCCGAGAGGGATTCTTTTAACATTGCTTTATGGTATTTATCCATAGTCACACCTTTAGCGAGCTGGCGCTGCAGCAGGGATAGCAAGCACATTCAGGCTCATGCCGCATGCGAGATGCGGCTTCCCAGGCACCAGTGGCAAGTTGGCATCTACCTTACCGCTGCAAAATACGGCCCTGGGTTGTGACTGTGGCCACAGATGCCAGGATCTTAACCTGAAGACGACCAAACGCACAGACCCCCTCAGCAACCAAGTAGAAAGGCAGAGTCTTAAAAGAGAGTTACCGGGATAGGGGAGTTTGGTCAATTGTGGGGGAGAAAGCACGTTTCGTAAGATCAAATGAAAGAGTTCTTACACAGAATAAAACAGCTTTATAAAAGGACTGTCATCTTCCATCTCAAGGACGAGAGATCATCCTTTAAAATTTGCAGAAGAATAATTTGAAGAAATTGATTAAGTGAAACTGAGGAGACAAAAGCATATATTTTAATTTATGAAAGAAGAAAGAAGAATTTGGGATTTGACAGTTCTGTTTAAACTCTGGAGAAGTCTCAATTACAAGTTAGGCATAAATTGAAAATCTCTTTTCCTCTCATTGTGGACGAATGGATAGCTGTACATTTTAAAAATATGAATGTGAATAGACAAGTCATTCCCCACTGTAGGCAATAAATGCATAGTTTTGTGGATCAGCTCTGAAAGAAGCAATTGCAGGTTTTGGTGAAGTTATCGATAAGATCCAATTATGGTCATCAAAATGCCTCTGGCTGCAGCATGAACTGTCATACGAATAACCTAGTGACTAGGTAAGACTGTGCAAGTAGCATGTGCAAGTAGCACGGTGATTAGTGCAAAGCTCTCTGCGTCTCTGAATTTTTCTTAAGATAATCCAGAACAGCAACATTCAGGTTACCAACAGGACACAGGCAATAAAGGAAGTGAAATAGGAATTAAAAACAGGTCCTGAATAACATTTGGATAATATAGACCAGCTGCATACAAATGATACAAGAACAGGAGGGGGGGGGAAAGAAGTAGTAGCCTTTCAAAGTTTGGATACATGATACACGGACCATACTTGCATTCACATGGAACAGTTTTGTTAGAAACAGAAAATAAGAATTTCTGTCAAATGCATCTTACTCGTATTCTCCTGCTAGGTGCAACTTTCCTTACAGTAGAGGTCCCAGTCCTGATACCCAGACCTCCCACTGGCAAATAAAAGAACCTCCCAGGATTTAAGAATTACAAAGCAGTCATATTGCCACAGACTGAATTCCCTACCATCTTTAGTAGCCAGAAGGAGAAGTTCAGGAAAAGGGGGCAAAACAGAGCAAACAGCTAGCTACACACTGCAGTCACATGCAGCCCAGGGACCTCCTGGGCTGGAGAGTCTCTCTGCACCTTTGAGTCTGATGGCCCTCAACAGACCGCATTCCACAGACACATACGTCCAGTCACTTTTTGAACCTACATGCACTTCTTGCGTCCTCACCATGCTGCGATAACGAGTTGCCCAATTTAACCAGGATGAGAATCTCCCTTTGGCTCTGGGGTCACTTGGATTTAGAGCAGAAATGCTGTCCTTCAGGGTTCATCTGCCACTGGGGCAACTGCTTGCTGCAAGAGGGCACTGGGAAAATCATTTTTGAACCTGTTTCTTCCCCCCTCCCTTTCTGCCTTGCCATGCACTGCTGGGTGGCCTAATTTAAATCTACTTTCAACTTGCACAAAACAAAGGAGAACACTAGTAAAAGTCTGGTTCCTAAGTAACGTTCCTTAGAGCTAACTATTCAGCCCATCGCTGAAAGTTTTTAAGAAACACAGGTATTTAAGCTTTTTTAAATTTTGTAAAAAAAATAAACTAACACTTGTGTATCTTGCCCAAAAGGGCAATGGTTGTAGGAGATTCTCCTGTGGAGGCTGGTGGCTTGGGCGGCCGCGGGGCCTGCACCAAGCACAAGGTCCCCCACACGGGCGGCTGCACTCAGGCGCTGGGGCTATCGTAACAAGCAAAGCCCCTTGGCCATAATAGCTGTAAGAAATCTTTAGTGTGCGGACATTACCATTCTAGGAGTAGCAAGGCTACATACAGGAACTCGCAGGCATTTGTTACTGCAATTGTTAGTACCTGAGCCGGCCACACACACAGAAGTGCCCAAGGTATGCAGTTCTCTCCTCTGGCCCACGTCAGCAAGTACCAAATTGCTCGAATGTTCTGTGATAACACTGCATTTAAAACAAAGTGATCTAAATTAGTTACATTTCTTATCACTCCAGTTCCTGGAAAAGCACAAAACAATTAACACTCCACTTTAAAGTGATTGCTTGAACCATCAATGAGAACATCTGAATTAGCCATCTGAACTAGCCCTTTGCATATGCATAAGCAGTGCACAGCCAACCAGCTGAAGTTAAAACATTTTAACTATAGCTGACAAACTGAATATTAAAGTAAAAATAATTGTCACAGTGAGGAAGATCCCCTTCCTCACAATTCAAAAGGAAGAAGTTTCTATTTTTAAAATTAGCTTTTTGTAATAGCAAATGTTTATGAGTAGCTGAGAAAGTGTTCTCTTTCAAGCTGGACAACAGAGCACATGTTGCTTCAAAGGAAGCTTCCGTGAAGTTCACTTTGTGAACCACACAATTAAACAGGACTAGCTCTCCATTATTCTGAAATGGATTAACGCTCAGGATTCATTTTAAGAACAGCGGGCATATTAAGCATCTGCAAGCATAGTGCCACTTTCTCATGTCAAAAGCATAGAGCAAAGTGAAGAAAACAAACCTATGTCTCTGCCTTGATCAGAAAAACTGGTGAATAACAGTACAGAGAATAAGGAAGTTAGGAATGACATTCTATAATTCTGCTTATGCCCCAAATCCATCTAGCAAAAACCAAACCAGAACCTCCTTCTTCTAGTGGCAGTTGCCACTAAAATCCAAGTTTAAAAAAAAATTAAAAAGCATCCATATCTTTTTATAGTTTTCTTGCATGTCTTGTAAATGAGTGAAATCATTAAGTATATGTGAACTAATATAATACTTAATATGAGTATTACCAGTTAACTTCAAAAAGTTCCAAAGCTAGAACTCACAAGAACATATTATCCACATTTGATTTTGTAAGATAGCTATAACATAATAAAGTGAGGCTGTGCATTAGCAGAGCATTATCTCCTTTACACATGAAAGCTATTCACTTTTTTAATTAGGAAGATATTTGTATCTCAATTCCAATTTGCATACTTTTAATTTCAGCATTTTTTGAATTGCACTCACACAATGAATAGCCCTCCATCTCTAGGCATATGCCAATATATAACACCTCATAGTAATCAACTAGAAGAAAGTGAACTGCTGCTGCCACAGAAGTTAGATTATGTCACTTTAATTTGGATGCTTACTGTGCACAACCATATCGCCATCTCCAGTCTGTCTATCTAGTATCAGTTAGTGAACTAGTTTTTTCTTAATCTCCCACATACTGTATTTTCACCACTTGTCAGATCACCTTATTACAAACACATTATGCCGTAAGATACCACGTCTTTAAGAATACAATATGGTTGAAAGTATGTTTGTGCAAGAACACCTGTGCTCCATCCTCAGAACAGAATTCATCATTCCATTAAGCAAACCTCAAGGTGTGCTGAAAACCATCTGCTCTTTCTCGGATTAAATTCTGATTCTGTGTTGTCAGGGCATAAGGAAAACAAGTGCAGTAGCATCCTAACTAACTGGCATCAGTAATTATCTTCATGCAAAACTAAATTAAGCCCCCCAACACGCTACAGGCTGCGTGCTCACAACAAGTTCACACACTAAGCGTGCTGACCTTTAGCACGGCAGTCATGTCAAAATTTATACAGCGCATCTACGCAGCGCAACGCTATCCAGAGACACCTCAGCTAGCTCTGTATAGTATCATGCCATGCCAATATATTATCTAAGACCTTAGAAGCAGAGTAGCCACATGGTGTGGAGCACACCACCTCAAGCAGTGCCAATTAGGTTGGGTACAATGTTATGCTGACACAACCAGGTTATTAATGGACCCAGCTTGCTTGGCAACAACTTGACGATCTCTACAGCATGTGACAGTAGAGAATCACACCGTCGAGTTAACGGGTTTTCACGAGTGCCACAGAAGTAATAATACTTTTCCCAGGCAAACTACTCAAGTTACTACTACCTCCATGAAGCTACACAGACTGAAACGACAGCTGCACTGAACAGTAAGAATTCAAACTGCTGGAAATGAGTGTTTAAAGTAGAAACATGTACGCCAACTTTTACTATGCATATTAATAAATATTCTTTATTTAAATTTTGCACATTGCGCTTTAACATATTACATCCAAAACATTTTGCCAATGGATGTCTACTTTGTAAAATCTTATATTCAGCTCATTGTCATTCTGTACAGAATTATAGGTACAACATTACTTTGCCACTAGTTTGCTTTTTGTAAGTCTCACAGTAAGAGAAACATTTAATGAAAAGAGATGGCTTAAATTATAAGAGAGGCTTGCACAGCTACTCAACTAAAGATACAAGCCTAAAGAAAGAACAAAATTAATGAAATCACCTCCACCAGCCTCCCCCAAAAAAAACAAGAAAAAAAAAATCACATTAATTTAAGATAAAATTTTGCCATAAGTCACTAAATTAAGTTTTTGAAAGAGAAGGCGCAGTAGTCATCTTGAGAATTTCAATGAAAGACAGAGCTATTTTATTGTATTTAGTTCGCTCCAGCCGTTGTCAACCAACCGTTACAAATGGGCCTCTTGTGATCATTTAAGCGGCAGTATTTATTAAATTTCTCCTTCAGATGCTGTCGGTATTGTTCTCTATTGCTGTAAAAAGACTTGTTGTTTGCCATGAAGGACTGTATTTCATCTTGTGAGATAAAGATTTCCTCATCAGAAGTGCATTCAGATTCATCCTACAAATGAAAACAAGCATGTAAGAACTCAAGCACTGCCCCTCCTATGCCATACACCTGTCTGGCAATTTTACACGTTGTCCCACAGTTGCTCTGAAGAAAGATGTAGCCTTCACGTCACAACAACTCAAGAAGTCTCAACTGGTTAATCCAGTCACTTGAATCATAGCGCTCTGCTATTTGTTGGGTAAGAGGCAGCCTACGCATTAATGAACTCTAGTAAAAATTAGCTCCAGACTCTAACTAGTTTCCACTGGAAGACGATCGCTTATATTGGAGGTTAAATAAATAAATAAAATGAGAGACATGTAAAAGCAAGGAGAAGGGAAAGGAACGGAAGATGGAAGAAAACTGTCCAAGGAGTCTGTGCTGGGAAGTAATATTTGAGACACGAAGGCAACAATAATGCACACTTCATTTCAAGGAATAATACAATTGTTAATAATGAATACTGATAATACAAATTCAGTCACTTGCATTCCAGCAGGCAACTCCTCCTCCCCTGCAAAGCAACTGAATTATATACTTTACAGAGAAAGTGTAAAAGCAAACAAAATAAAACGCCAGGACAGTAAGCTATGAGCCTGAGGCTCATAGCTGTTATCTGTTGTAAAACTTCTTCATTGAAATTTGAATTCTAAGCCTCATCCTCAACATCAAGGATTTAAAGCTACAACTTAAAATTCAGAGTAAGTGGTTACTTACAAGGAGTTCCACTAAGCTCTTGGCACCTTTTCCAGTATCAGGAACAAGTGACATTTCTGTAGGTTCAGCAAACTGTGACACATTTTTCATATGCTCAAACCAAGGCAACTGCTGCCCACTTTTTTCTGAGCTACAGCAGCTTTCAGCATGCATGTCTTTGGTCTTGTCACGATGAAATTCTGTGTGGATGATATTTCCTGAGGTCTCTCTGTTACCTGGATCTGCAATACAGCTTCCAAGTTTCTGAATCTAAGTGTGAAAACAACTAGAGTGAGCTACTAGCCAAGTTAAAACTGAAACATTCAGGTTTCAGATGGAGGTGAGTGGGTAAGGAAAAAGGTTGAAAAAGGCTGCAAAGATACTTTAAAAAAATTTTTAAATGTGTACAACGTGCATAATTAGAAGCACAGGAGAAAAGAGAATCATTCTGCCAGAACCTATTCTAGGAAGGACTTCAATTACAAAAATTTGGATGGAGATATAACAGAGGATCCATGTCATCTCCTTTAGTCACCATCCAACTTTGAGATACTTTTGTAACTCTTTTACAACGTACGCAAGTAAATAAGTATTCTGGTGTAAGCTAACGTCCTTACATGATCATTCTCACACTTCAAAGTTTTACTTTTCTTTTTCTTCTTTTTGTTTTTGCCTTTTGTGTTATTCTCTTCAGAATTAGCCCAACATTCCACACAGCTATCTCCATCCTCCTCTTTGTCATCACAGCGATGGACACACGAATCATCTCCTGCAAAAAACACAGAATTTCATTCTCGCATACACTTCTGAAGTTTTGTGTAAACTAAAACAATATTAAGCTTTTGTCAAACCTACCATTTTCATCATGGTTACAAATGCCTTCAGTGCAGGCCACATCTGATCCCTCTCGAGATCCTGTTTCACTGCCCTCCATACTAGATGAATAGCCACAATCACTACCGTTACAATGTGGAGATAAACCTGAGATGAAGTGGGGGGGGGAAAAAAAAAAACAAAGAAAACACACACACACAGAGTAATCTCTAGTAGCCGTTGCATATTCTTTAGTTTTGCCTCTTGATAGAGGCAATTTAAAAAAAAATTTTTTTGGATCTCTTCCAAAATTTTAGAAGATTACGTGAACACCATTTAACCCCCAAATCGTGGGTTTTAAAATGAAAAATTACGAAGTTTAACCTACCTTTCTTTATTTTAGGTGAGCCTAATAGGGTACCACTACTAGGACAGGTGCAAGAAGTGCTTTCATTAGTAACAATTACTTCTACACAACTGTTAGCTTCTTCTGTGCTACCACAGGCTTTGCAACTATTTTCCATGAAGTCCGAATTTTCCTTAAAAACAAAAACCAAGAAAAAAAAATGCATGGAAGTACTGAAAGCAGCTCAGCCAGCATCTTTAGAAAGGATGCTCTTTCCACAAGAAAAACACTTGACAGTGACTGATACCAGATTGATACAGACTCTCTTAAGATTCTTCAAAAGTACAATACAACCCTACTTTCCACACAAGAATACGATCTGTAATTAACCCAATTCTAGTTCAGCCAAGAGTAGTTGTCTTTGATTAGCATTTGAATTCCCATATTCTAATCTAAGCGATCTTTAAGAAATGGTAATTTAAAGATATTCTAACATGCTTTACCTAATTACCTAGATTTAGGATTAAAAAACAAAAAACAAAAACAAAAACCACACACACAAACCCCGAAAGACTGAAGAGTTCCAAGCGACCACTTTATAAAAATATTTTACTAATCTGAAAGTTAAATGCCAGTAGTGACCAAAACCAGTTCCCAGAAATGAAATACAATAACAACGTCTGAAGCAGTCTAAAATTGAGCACTGAGTTGAGGAGCAAAGCACCAAATTAAAAGTCTAGTTATTTAACATCAGTGGAAACTAACAAATATCAATGTTTACCTTTGCTTGATTTATTTCCTTCTCTTCTGTTGCCTGCAAGGGAGCAGGGATCTCACACACGCACTTATTTTTCCGTCTATTCTTTCGTTTTTGGCGCTTCTTTTCTTGTTTAAGCTCTCGTACTCTTTCTTCTTCTGAAAACTCTTCACAGAGTTGTTCCAATCGACTAATACCCTGCACTTTTTCCACAGCCATCTGTTTATAAGACGTTAGATCTATTTATAGACATTAATCACAACTCAAGCTTTCACATTTATAAAAAAAGGAGGAGGAAAATAACTGGTAAGTACTTTTTATGGTCAAGTCACAGCAACAGAGCTATCAACACTAGAAGAAAAACTGCCTATTCAAATTCAGTCATTAAGTTTAGACCGCTGGACAAGATCACGTACATGGGAGCATTTTATTTATTTCATACAGGGCCCAAATTCACAATTTTCAGTGAAAAGCTATGGACTTGAATACATTTGCGGATCTGTGTTTACATGATAGGAACTGTGTTAGACACAAACATTAGCATTATTGATACAGAATTCCTGTAACTTTTTGACTAGGGTAACCACTGAAAAACACAGGTCATCTAACTAATTTTTAGGCACTCCAATTTTTGAAGTGTAGATATATCTCAAAACATAGCAAGTATCTAAGCATATTCCTATTCATTAATATTAATTTAGAATAAATATCATTATATGACATGACTGAAAAACTACCAAGACAAGCATGAAAAAAAAGCCACAGTGCACTTAGTCCAATGCCACTTCCATTGCAGCAAAAGTCTTAAGATTACTGAAACAAAAAATACAACTAGATTAAAGTTCCACTATAATTTTTCCCACATTGATTTTATCACCCCTCACCCAATTTTTAGAGACAATAGCCATTATGAACAGAACAAGCATTAAAAAAAAAAATCTACATAACATAAAAAGGGCAAGGCAAATCTACTGATATTTGTCGTAAATATACTATTGGAATATATTAAAGGAACCAGAGTTCTGTCTAAAGTTCAAGATCCAACAGAATTACAGAATTTATTTGAAACCAGCCACTGAGCACATTGAACGTAAGATTTAGCAGTTGTGCTTGTAATTCAGAAGCACATCCTCCATTTTTACTAATCACCCAAACTGTTTAAACTTGTTGTAGCCAGAGCTACTTTAAATACTGTCAGTAGTGGTAACCTCACTTCAAACAAAAAATACAGAAAATACAGCATACTGTAATGTGTGTAAAGAGCGAAAGCAAACAAGTCCCAATCTCTTCTGTTCCAGCATAAGAGATTGCAGAATGCAACTCAGTTTTAATACACATTGATATTACACTGTTGTTGCCTGCAATGAGCAGGGGATTGAATGCAAGACCGTGAAAGCTCTTTACGGTCCAACGTTAGCAGAAAGCAGAAAACGAATCTTAGCGTAATTGCATGCAGTCATTATAGCACCTCAAATACAAGTTAGATAAAATTTGATTTTTACCTCAAAGCTTTTGCGTAAAGCATCAACACCTAGGTAAAAAAGCATCTGCCACGTTTGTTCCTCAGCCCGCAACTTTTGCCAGATTCGGTGTAATCTTTCATAAAGATGAATACCCAGGCAGGTCAAAACTTCTTCTTGGGCTATGTCTATTGTCTTAGCATGCCTTTCTCTTCGTCTAAAGGAAGAGTTGAACCAAAGTATAGGTATTGTTAAAGTAGCCGGAAGTCTACCAAGAGATCAAAGCAGTTTAATGAAGTATTGTCTGTATGCACAGTTGAAGATATGTTTGCATGAACAGCCTTTTTTCAAATCGAGTTCTGTTGTGCTGCATGCAGATGCAAAATAGAAAGGACCAGGTCAAAAACATCACTACATTCCTGATGCGTTCATCTGTGCATGGCACTGTAAAGCTGCACTATGCCTTCCACCCTGTGACTTCCAAAGGTGTTACCCCATCAGTCTCCGTTTGCTGCTATTAGAAGGGATCAGCCGAGTTTAAATGTCAAAGAGATGCAATCATTCGTTTGATACCTAGCATGTTTGTTTAGTTCATAGCAAATATTTCAGCTTCCTAGACACTTGTGTGAGTGCCAGTTAACTGAAGCTGTATCAACACACAGGTAAATTTATACATACTCACCTTGCAGCAAAGTACTTCAATACTAATCTGTATCTATCATCTGTTACGGAAAATCATTATAAAAGGCTTTCCTCTCCTAATGATGCAACTGTGATCTAGCTCTTAAGTTATTAAGCTCAGAATGGTATTTTTCATGGGAGGATTTTAAGATGCTAAAACAAGTTCAGAAGTCACTATAAAATACAAATGGTTACAAAATTAAGTTGAACACTTGACATTCAGTAAAACTTTTAACCAAGGCTCTCTTTCTATTTCGCATATTTTGAACACCTCAATGGAAAAGCAGGCAGCTCCAATAAGTGAGCAAATGAACTAGAAGACATGTAGACATTTCTTTCAGTCTTGCCTTTAGAGTTAAGTGTACTTTAAAGTCAAAAGCACATATAGTCTTCACTACTTTGAAGCATTATCTTGAAAGTATACTTCAATATGAATATTTACATTCAAAAGTTTACTATGCAGCAGAGAAGCAAAAATCACTTTTGCAAAATACATTCAATAATAAAATAAAGAAGCAAAGCGCTAGATAGCCCACTCTAGCAAATTACATACTCATACCCTCCTGCGAACTCTGGTTCAGCTCGACCCAGTAGGTGCGCGATGAAATCTGTTTCACAGCATACATGTATATGACGCTCATGTGGACAGCAACGCAAACCCTCATAAAGTGCAGCACAGTAGCCCTTTTCTTTGCTGCAGTCTAGCTCACCAATAAGAATATTGTATGCCCGAAGTACTTTGTTTTTGCAGTCAGTGCAAAACCTGTATTAAAATAGAATATAACAGAACTGAATTCTTATTCAAGTAGAAATTTAAAACAGCTTAATCTAAATTATAACATTCTGAACTAAGCAATAGTACATGCTGTATTTAAACAAGGTCATACTAGTGTTTACGTTACTTCAAAAGGTAAAATAGTAAGACTTTGGAGGTAAGCCACACAAGTTTATTCCATACATTATACTACCTATCACATTTTACAAGTCTGGATATCAACTTTCATGCTGTGAGGCATAAATCAAGCTAATGGTTAATATGAAGAAATTCTTATATGATATGCAATTCCATATTTGTTCAAAATCAGAAATCTAACAGTGAACAAAATGCATCATTAGTACAAGCCAGCACAATATTCCTCTCAAGGAGCACGCTCCAAGTTACTTTACAGCAATTATTTAAAGTATACTCAAGTCAGTGATAAGCGATAAGAAGAAAAATAAGTTTCCTCTGTGGCCTGCTGTGTAAGATTCTTGTTTCCACTACAAGTCTCTAAACATATTTTGAATTATTAGATTACTACACAGGTAGCCAAACAAAGTTTACTCATAAAACACTATACTCAGCTTAAAACATGTGATAGCTCAGATAACTAATATAAGAATAGTACAGCTATGAACTCAATTATAATTAAAATGCAACCAAATTAAGCTCATTCTATTTTAAAAGAGTAGCCATCTTCAAGAAGCTACAAAGCTTCTAGCTGCATCATTCTAAAAATGCAAGTCAGACAAGCTGCTCACATTTCAGCTTTCAGCTTGAAAAGCTTGCTCTTCGTATCCTCTCTGGATAGTGTTTTTCCCCCTCCCTAACGTTGTCATGTGACTGGACAAAGTCAGTCAAACATATTTTGATGTTTGATAGACCTATGATAACAGGCTAATTTCTGTGCTGGAAGGAAACAAAACAGTAATATTACTGCAGGTTAGCATCAGGAATGCTGCCAACTCCATGTTTAATGTCACAGAAGATTAAAGTTATTTTGTTTCTAAAGTGTTATTTCCACACCACCACCCCCGCACCCATCTGTGCGCCCCCGCCCCATCTATATCAGAACCTTGAGATTACTGGAAATTATAACTTTTTCCATCAGTAGAGTAGCTACCATACACATTTAATAATCATTTAGTGGCCTATTTTTTCCTGTAAAAAAAGTAAAAGCCCTAGCCCTATTAAGTCATAAACACCTTTTTTAAAAGTCATTTATAGGAAACACCAAGCCTAAAATCTCCTCCTGCTTCTATTAGTTTACCTCACATTATTTTGAAATTGCACCTATTCCCCAAAAGCCTAAATGAAGACAGTCCCAGAGCCGGTTACTTGTAAAAGAACTGAAAGTTCACTTAGCTCTCACAGAAAGGAGAGCTTCTGTGCGTAGAAAGCATCAATTTCAACATTATGTATTATTAAGAATGCATACTTTTAATACTAATTTTTATTAATATGGCACTGAAAGTAACCCAAGATTCCCTCAAATACACCCACAGTTCTAAAGGCATCAATTAAAATACTTCAAATAACACAAAGGAAAAAAAGAGGGCAGAGTTACCTCAAGTTAGAATTCTTGCTATCACTTGACAGTGTACAGCTCAGCCCACCAGAAGAATAAAAAACCTGGTGTTCACCAGTCTGTTCATGTTGAAGTTTGCCGCAAGAATACTAATCATTGCCATTAGATAGTTTTAAAGTTGCAAGACTTCCATATTTGTATTAAAAGATGAATAGGAATACATAGAACATATCCAACTGTAACATATCAATTTTTTATGATTTAATCCTAACCAAAAAATTGAGAGAAACAGCTACAATTTCACCTAACATCTGTGCATTTCTGATACTATAACCAGGAACAATGAGTAAAATACAAAGAATACTTAAATCATTGTAGCGCTGTAACCCAATCTTGTCTATTACTATGATCCTTACAACTTCCGTTTTAAAAAGGACCATAAGAATCCTGTAAACTTTTAAACACTGTGTGCACTTTATGCATACTTTGATTCACAAGAATATGCAGCTACGTATTACTCAAAACAAAGGTGTGTCTTAATTCTCTTAACATACCTGTGTTTTCGTAGATACGTTTCTAATGTTTCTAAAAGACAACTAGAATCAATTAAAACTACTTCATCCCTGCATTCTTGGGACATGAGCTCCCATACATCCATCCAACAACCCCTGAAAACAAACAAACAAACCAACCATAAGAAACAAAGACATTATCCTTTTAGGAGGAGGCAAAAGAAGAAAAATGAAGCATCTTTAGTTTACCTGACTGCTCCCTGGAAAGGTCCATAGTGGAAAGTGATCCTACACTTGCTGTCCTTCCTGCTGTCTTCGCTACTTTTCTTATCTGCATTTAATTTCTCTGTACTGAGTGTGCTACTGCTCCCTTCACTGTAGCATAGTATTAAAAAGAAATTTTAAACCTGTACCAACTCTATTACAGAGCTAGTTATTTTTCCTAAACAAACGCTATCAAAAACTTCAATGTTCCTCATTTTACTTTGAATATTGTATAGGCTAAGCCTGAACTTCCAGAAAAGCTAGGGTCAGCTACGAGATACAAGGTTTGTTGTCTGTGTTCGTAAACCCAGATTCATAATGACTTTAAAAAAATTACAGTTAAAGAAAGCAATGATTTTTCCACAATATTACCTTAAGTATAAACATATGTGAGCTTTAATAGTTCTGGCAGATTGCATTTCAAATGGCAATTTGAAAAAGAAAAAAGAAAAAAAAAGAAAAAAAAGGTCCTACTTCCACATTTCTATCACCACAGAGAAACCAAAAAAAAAAAAAAACACTCCAATCTCTATTAAACTTCTAAAACTTGTTAAAAAGCTTTACCCTAAAACTATATGCATTTGCTGGACTTAAACTTGGATATGCTAAAAGTACTCTTATAGGGCAAAAAATAAACTTTAAATAGCAAGTCATGTTTACTTACAGGCTTGACTGCACTTGACATTTTACCAGAACAGTCCTTTCTGTTTAAGCTCGTGCATAGATAAAAGAGTAGGAAAAACTGAGGAGGAAGCACTCCCATTTAATAATTAGTACCTCAAGAGTATTTATTTATACTATTATCTCAGTAAATTGCCAGATTTGTATTTGCATGTGTGTTTATGAGAGGTTAAAATGCTCCTTAGCCTCGAATGAAATAGAGTAGTGATAAACCAGGTACACTTACACAGAGAACATCAAGTAACGCTCAAGTGGTATTAGCTGGTATTTGTAGTTAGGTAACTTGCATAATTAAACACACAATTACAATTCAATGCCTTTTTTTGTATAAAGTAACTAACAAAGACGCAACTCATCTGAAGAAGTTTCTTGTAATGAAGTTGAGCAGAAGCTCTAAGTTGGTAGACAAAACTTGTTCTGTAGCATAATCCTATTTGACATCTCCATGTCTAGGCTGTTAGCACATCTGCTTCCACTCTAAGCAGCAGATTTATTTGGAGAAATATCAGTACTGATACACCCTGACCGCTCGGTAGCATAAAAAAAAAATGGATATTGACTGAGCAAGCAGAGTGCAAGCCATGTTTCTTAAGTAAACTACACTGATTGTTCACATGCCATGTTATCAGATAAAGCCAAAAGCTTTACTTGTAATACATTAAAATATTGTTTTTCCACATATTACTATTATCCTGTCAGTGTTCAAAATACTAAGGGGATTTATTCCAGCACGAATTGAGGAAATAAGGCAGCATTATCTCTCCATTCAGTTTCACAACTGATTTGCCTTGCCAAAATGGTACACACAGATTCAACGATATAGGTTCTTAAACAGAAAGAATTAATCTTACCATAAACTGAAAAGATGCAACACTTTCATAAAGCTTTGAATTTGTTTCCCCCCCCACTTTAAATATATCCATAGGATCTTTTGTTTACGTAACATAAGCTTTAAACCAATCATATGACAGGTCTGTAACCAAAATATAATAGGAGATAATGACTAGCTACCACGATCCTCAAACAGTGCAAGTAAAATCAAGTGTCAAATTCCACATGCCTAGCATCTCAGGGGATTGGTGTAAACCCAAACAGAGTCAAGCCTGCATAGAAAAATACATGTCCTGTAACTGGAAACCCTGATCGATCTTTGACAGGTTGCATGCTTAACCAGAAGCAGCACGTAACTGACTAGCAGGGTGTCAATACGCACTCCAACTAAGCATAGCAGTCCAATTCATTGGTTATCACCTTGGGGAAAAAAAAAAAAAGATTTAAAGGCTGGGCTTTGTTGTTTTTTTTTTTTTGGTCAATCAGCTGGAATAAACCATTTCAGCTTCTAATACACAGAAGCATATATGCATCTTTTTCCACTGATGCACTCAAAACAATCTGTCACATTTTGAGAAAACACATTCTACAAATTTTCATTTTTAACCCTGCAGCCCAATCATAATGAATTCCTTTATTAACAGTTACACAAGACATTTTTAATAATCCCAAGTAAAATGGTGCAATTTAATATGTACCCTTTCACCTCAATGTGAGAAAACTGCAATCAAACAAACATTTGGTTTAAAAATATGAAAACTGATAAATGATGTTCAGGAAAGACAAATATTACAGTCATTCATGACTAGGACTTCAACGTTTGAAGCAGAAGCTATCCATGCTCTGAGCAAATCATCATGCAAATCATGTCAGACAAGAGATGAACAGCACAGAAAGCACTGGTTTGTAATGGCCACGCCGGCTTTCGGCAACTGGGTTTGAAATTAAACATGAGGCTCTTTTTATATTAAAAAATAAAAAACCTCAAGAGCCAACAGTCAAAATTTCAACGGCTAGAGTTAACAAGCAAACGTTAAGAAATAGTTGATTTCAAACCTCATATGAAAGCAGCAGCAACTGTGTTAGGGAGCTCTGAAAAAGGGCACAGGAACAGCTCTCACATGGGGAGGCACCCATCTCACGTTGAAAGGGCAAGAGACTTTATAGTACTGTCTATTTATTGGACAAAGCTAAAGTATGAACAAGGTCAGTGGGAAAAGGATTAAACTCCATGACTCCAGTGACAGTCTTACCAGAAGGCCTAACTACCCTATTATGAAAACCTATGAAAAAAGACTTAGGCCGTGTAACTTATGCTGCCCAGAACTCCTGGGTGCCTCTGTTCCACTCCCTCTAAAACTATTTGGATCTACCATAATCCAAATAGTTTGTAAACTACTGTTCTGGCATCAAATCACATGCATAAAAACTGATCTCAGTGCTTAAGAGAAAATTAGTATGCATAGTTCCATTCCTTAACCATTTTAGATTGAATTCTGCATGTTAAACTTACCCTAAAGGTTTTGGTTTGTGTGTGTCCAGGGAGTGTAATTGACACCTCTTGTTCTTCTTACTTTTGGGAATCGCATCGATCATATCGTTCAGTTTGGACCTATAGAAAAATGCCAGAAATATAACTTAATATTCTGAAAACATGATTATCCAGGGAAATTTTAAAGGGATTAATTCAGCTCATCTGGCAGAATAAAGTATGCTAATGCACACTAAATCTAAGCATTTTCTTCCCATCCTCCGCTACTTTTACTCTGTTTACTCATTATGACCCACAAACTTGTAATAGCCCAAGAAAGTATAGTAAGAATGTTTCCAACCAAACCCTAGCAAGCATTATAACGCACAACCTAAAAAGCTACTACATAACTTCGCTTTATGAATAATAGACCTAGAGCAATGAAAACTAGTTCAAAAGGGTAGGGAACTGCTAAGCACAACTCATCAAGTCACACTTGCCCGGCCTTCCAAATTTCTATATCCTCAGCTCTGCACTAACAACTTCTCGCTGGCCTGCTAGCGGGAGCAAGAAGCAGCAGGAGCTGAAGCCAGCTGGAAGGCACAGGCACACTGTGCTGAGCAGTCACTGTTTGGTCTGCTGACAGCCGAGAAACAAATGGCACTGAGGCTATATATTGTGCTAGGCAAACCCAGAGAGTTTCACTTTCACAGTGTTACTGTTCTACTCAAGAGCAGAAGGTACATTTTCTACTCAAATTAGTGGGGTGAGGAAGCCCTTTTCTTTCAGAGATCATGAAAAACCCACAGCACCTATTTGGAGACTAATGGCTAAGCATTTTAATACTGCTATCTTTCAGCTGCAATCATGTCATCACAACCAGTGATAGGAAAGATTAGGTATTTTGGGCCCCCCTCCCCTCCCAGTTTAGGCAGACCAACAACTACTTTAACATGGCTGTAGAAGACAGGTATGAGCCATCAGGCTCAAACTCGCAACTATTCAATATCTCTAACAAGGAAACTAAGGAAGAAGCACAGAAGCTGGTTCTCCTTTTCCCCAGATAAGAATGATCTGAACCGTTTTAAGATAGCTGTGGGTTTAACTTACCCATGCACATAAAACAGTGTATAGAGCTTCTTTGCATCAGTCATACAGCTTCGAGTTACAGAAAGAACCCCCTTTGGCCCTACTGTTAGGGGTTCAAGTGCTGGATTTCCAGACTCAACAAGCTGAGAAAAGAGGCGTTCCACACTACGGCGACAGCCAACACACGGGACCAACTGAGAAAGCGCGCTCAAAACTTCACGTGATGTCACCATCATGGCAATATTGAGATCCTGTTGTTTAAGCATGCTATGTCGCTAAAAGAGAGCAAGAAGTGAAATAATTATTTTGGAGATCTTGAACTGCTCAAAGGTTTCTTTGCTTTTAACTGCATTTCTTTTTCAAAACGTCTTTTTCAAACCTCTGACTGTATAATCAGGAAACCCTCTTCTCCGCTTGAGCTTTCACCTATAACTCCGAAAATTTTTGTTCTCCAGTCGCACTCATTTTATCTTGGGCACATAGGTAGGAATTTTCTGAACTCTTAAACACTAGCTTGTAATTTGCTTATATGGAAATCTCATTTAAAACAAATCTATTCTGCTCAGACCAAGACACATTTAGCAATGCTTTTCCCGGAAGATTACATGCCATTTCACATCACAAATTTAATACCTGAAAAAGCATGCATTACTATTAAGGGTGAAACATTTGATTTTAATGAGGAACATCCAACGCGTGCTAATAATACAACATTAAAGAGAACACCACCTAATATTTCTTACATCAATAAACAATTTTAAGAGCCTCTTCTGGTTCCTCCGTCAAACACATCCACGTGTGCGCACGCACACAGAAAAGTACATACCCTTCTATTTCTTCTTCTAACTGCTGCATTACAAACTCAGACTTCAACAACATTGAACTTCCAGTAGTACAGCTACACCAAGTAGAGAGTCCCTTCTTTATACACCAAACAACATACCCACACTTACAATAACAGCACTATTGGCACTTTATCTGTAAAAGCAGTGATGTCAGTATATTAACTGTGAACGTTAGTTTTCCCTGGTTATACAAAATAAATTGTGTTGGCAAACTTGTATCTATACAGGGAATGTTTTCCCACAATTTTATTTTCTATATTATTGTCATACCATACCAGTCAAACACTCCTAATGCAGCAATAACTTATTACAACTGCAGGAGAGAGAGAGAGAAAAGAATCATAATGAAACTAATCGATCCCATGGAAAAGGTAAATGCATGAATTGAAGAGAGAGAACATTTTCACTTCATCTTATTTTTAATCATATTATTAAATGTTATCTGATAATAGCTTCACCTTTTAAGTTTGTACTCTTAAAAAAGGGTACATTAAATAATTTGTCAAGTGATAGCACTCGACAGCAATCCTTCTCTTTTCAGTAATTAACAGTACTAGTCACAGCAGGAGTAGAAACGAGCTATTCTCACAACACAGCTATGCTCTATATGCAGCATATGCCTGAACTGCTGCAGTCAAGACCACACTGAAGAAGTGCAAGCTGCGGATCATCAGACAGGCCTGTTCTTTTGGACATCAAGTAGTGCTCTTTTTTTTTTGCTACAGATTTCACGGCGCTATAGTTATTTGTCAGAGCGTTAGTAGAAAAGTTTCCATTATTAAAATTTCACAGGACCACAAAACTGTCTTCCACTATTCAACTAGAAACAATCTATAAACTAGCCCATTACTTCTATCTTGGTACAAATCATAAGAACTTGATCTTTAAGCAACACACACTTCTACTTGAATAAACAATTCCAGAGCATTTTGAAACAAACTAAAATAAATTCAGAAACTATAATTTCCATCAAGTATAAACTGGCAGTGACCAGAAGATGCTTTTTTTTTTTTTAAACAAGTTTTCAATTCTAGTTAGAAGTGCAGCAATCTCCTCCTGTAAAGGCAACAGCATGTAAAAGCTGTGATGTACAGAAAATGAATGCGCCCAGTGTACTTTGGTACCAATACTTAATTGAATATAGATGATGACACGTCCATTAAGTAATTCATTACTACCTATAGTGACAACCTCCTGGAAAAGTGAAAGCACAAACTTAAGGAAAGCAAAATCTGATATGCAGCCTTTTAAGGACAGGCTGATGGATTTACCTGAATGAACTGCTTTAGTTGTGCACCGTTATTCTGATGTCCATCAAGGTTTAGTACATTATCAGGAAATTCCATCACCATCTATGTGAGAAAAAGGAGAAAAGTGAAAAAGTCTGAAAAGTCAAATGCAGAGCCATTAGTCTATTCTACTTTCTAGGTGGGTGCACTGGAGGGGAAAAGGGGAAGACAACAGAAAGGATGTTAAATTCTCTTTTTTTTTTCCCCTCACATTGCAATATTGAAAGCTTGGAAAAGGATAAAAACAGCAGTTAAGATAGTGAATGTTTTACCATTTTAACTGTTTCATTAATATAAGCTTCTGGAGGCAGTTTATAAACAACCCTTGAAAAGCTGTTTTGTGGTAGAGCAAGAGTTACTAAATGGAACAGCAGTATAACACTATTTACATTAGTCGAAATCATGCCTCAATTAAAAAAAAAAAAAAGTATTGTATTTCAACACATTGACAACCAAATTGATCCAAAAGCCTAACTAATTCTGTAAAGCTATGAAGAAACAGTCACAACAGTTAACGACTTTGTGTCTGCTACTTCGAAGTGCTAGTTTAAAACCACATTAACTCAACAAGATACTCTAAGGTATGCTTTGTTTTGTATGACTGCAGCTGCAATTCTCAAGTGGCTCCAAGTAAAACGTTAAGCCTACAGAACAACATGATTACTAGTACAGTAATTAATAGTACTTCTTCTCCAATTACTGAGCAACAAATAGGGTGATTTCTTGAAAAAAAATCAGTAAAGTTTTCAGTCAAAAATTTAACATAACAACCAGGGAGAAAAACGCAACCAACTAGGAGGAATGAAAACTGGTTTAGTTGATCTTATTTGTCCAAACTGAGAAATAAGAAAATATATCAGCATGAATACAGAGAGTTCAGTTTAAAATCTGAAAGACTAAATAACTTTGAAATCAGACCAACTCTAATACCAGTCAACAACAACGTGAAATTGTTTGATTAATTCTCCTCCCTCCACCTTCCTTTAATTGACTGATAAAGAAAGAATTCCCTGCTGTCTTTGCAATTGCTGACACTATCTCCAGAGAACTGATACGTTTAGTTTTACAGGCATTCAACATCACTCCAAAATAAACATCTATTCTCTAAGGCCAGAAAGCAAGGCCTTAGAAAGCAAGTATAGTGATCTAACACGTGCAAGAATTGGAACAGTAGCATAGCTTTCCAGTCTCTGTGCAGAACAGTGCCACAGTCAGTGCTAATTCTGACCTCTCCTGTATTCTTTTCTTTGCCTTCCCTTTCCATGCCCCTGATCCATACACACTTACCAGCGGCACTAGTTTTTCCTACACTGCTAATCTGATGTTCCCGTGGGGAATGAGCTACATGCAAGTAAAAGCACTATTTGCTAAAAGCAGAGAAGAGATAATTACTCTTCTTCTCCCTTCATCTTCATCTCCCACCATCAGACCACACCCCTACGTGTTTTGTACAGCAGAATGAAATTATCAAAGACCAAATTAATTCATGCATTGGTTTGATGAGATTGTATTAACCAGTTAAACATCAACCATCATCATGCCCTGAACAGAAGAAAAAATTCCCACAATACCACATCAAATGCAATGCCTTCTAGAGATCATAAAGGCTGCTTAAGAAATGAAAAGGGTTAAATATTCAACCTTCCTTTAATTTCTAGTTGAGGCATAGGAAACAGAAAAGTGTAGAATAATGAACAATTAAATTAAGAGTGCAATACCATATTGCACCTAAGCAACTTCTACAGAGCAATGTTAAAAATCTAAGAGCACTATAACCGATTCATTTACTAATTTGCTATCACTGAATCACTATTTCTAGGTTCAAGGCATAGATTAAGGCTTCCAATTGACTAATAGTCAAAATCTGTTTTGATTTTGAGAGTTTTAAAAGCAGTCAACACGAACCTGTTAATATCGATAAACAACACTCAATTTTATTTTAAAAAAAAAAATCTAAAGACATAAAATTATGTTTCAAAGACAAGTGTATCTGTTTCAAAGACAAACTGCATCTCTTGCGATAGCTCTTGTTAGGAATTTAAGTAGTAAACTACAGAACTTGTTTAGACTCCAAGACAAGAAAGCTAAGAGTCCATTCACCTGTTTCCACAGCTTCACTAAATAAAAGCTGCCAGATCACCTAAAAATCTGAGTGCTTTGTAACAACAGAACAGAACAAAAGAAAAAAAATGGATGCAGGACAATATTTCTTTATGGTGAGGATGACTTGCACTTACATAAATACCTTTTGTATCCAGCTGGATACAAAACTGATTTACAGCTATAGAAACTTATTCAATCATGACTATGCCTTTTCTCTGGTGTAAAAAGTAAAATGATAACAACAACATCCGTGCAGCTGCAGAAAGTTTGGGGCAGGAAGTTGAATTCCTGAACTATAATCACAAACGGAATTTTAGGGTGGCAGAAGTCAAACCATCTCTCTCATGCCTGCTACAGGTGAATTTTCACACTCTCTCTCAAGCTATTAAGTACAACAAATGCTAAGGAGCACATGGTAAATCATCTAACTGACACATCTCTAATGAATCATTTTTATTAGGGAGTCCAGAAAGAAAGAAGAAGAAAAAACCCTTAACACTATATGGGGAATGGAGAGGGGAAATATTAAAGGAATAGACAAGATACCAAAACCAAAAACTTGCACTATTCTTAAGTGATGCTGGGTTCCCAACTAAATAGCCACTGCAGAGGAGCTAGATATCACTTTGCACAGCTCATAGAGAAACTTTGTCTATCATGTAAGCACGGTTAACCAGAGATTGCAGACCACATAAAACCAAAAATATAGTGAAGGTATTTGTTTAATTAATAACATGCATTCATTTACAATGATCAAAACTAAAACACAGCGAGAACTCTCTTTCCAAGTGTAAGAAAAATAAAAGAGATTGACATAGATAAGTCTTTAACAGCAGAAAAGGCAGGGATTTAGAGACAGCCTGAAGATACTGAATTGTTTTTTTCTGAAAGATGGGAGAAATTACACTATGAAGTTGGTTTAAAAAAAAACAACACTACAGCAAGCGAGGCATTCTCCCATTTTAAAAAGTGAAAACAGGAATTTAAAGTGGATACATTTTATATCATTCAAGTAACAGCAGTTACTGTCACAGGATACATCACTGAAAACAATAGGATTCAAATATGAATAATTAAAATAGCCAATTACACTAAAAAAGTCTAATTTTGTTTTCAACCCAACATTTTTACTCTGTAAAAAAAATTAGGACAAACAGAGAAGCGTTTCTTCCATTTGTTCAATATTCATTTACTACGCAATTTCTGAGTCTTCCTTTAAAGATGTGAGGGAGAGGAAAAGAGACCACAGAGCCTCCAAATTACATTTGCTTCATTTTTCCTCGCAGTCTTCCGGAGACAGCAAAATCCCTACAGTTTTCAAACTGGAATACGACATTGAAATTTTCTGATTTGTTGCTGTAAACATATTAGCAGGTACTGCAGGCTCTAAAATACGTTTCAAGCCAAAGTCATTAAAAACACCATCAGCCTTTCCTTGCCTATTTAAAAACATAGTTAACTAGTCATTAAATTGGGTTTTAATGTTAACATATCCCCCTTCTTTATTAGCTGAAAAATGGCTTTGCTCCACATTTAGCATTTTAGGTACTGACACGCTTGTCAGCCTTGAAAATGAATTATGCGCAGGCCCCGACACAGCAGTAACTTTCTTATTACGCTATATGCATATTTTTCAGAGGTGGAAATAAGATTTAAAAAAAAAAAAAAAGAGTCGCCACGTTAAGCACTGTTAACCCGAAGTGTTATAAAGTCCCACAGATCAGCACGGTGAGAGAAGCCAAAGGAGGAGCCTAGGAGGCCTGTCTGGAGGGGAAAGGCCTCGCCTGCGGATTGCAACATACCGTCTGCACATGTTGTAAGCGGGCGGCGCGCGGGCAGGGGGTGCTCCGCGGCGGGGGGGAGGCACTCACCGTGAGGGTGTCATCTATGTAGAGGGGGATCTGCCTCTTCTCGAAGGGGAATTCCTCCTCGCCGTCTCTGCACA